TAACAATTAAAGAAAAAAAAATGCAATTTTCTTGCGTCTCTCAGGATTTCCCTCAGCATGAGAGTATTTCCCCTCTTTTTTTCCTTGTAGGAACCTTTTGCCTTTCTTGTGTCACTTTGTTTTCAAGTGCAACCCCCACCCTCAGCAATAATGGTCTAATTTAGATTTTAACTTATATATCAAATGCTTGAAATAAAGTAGAAATAGAAAAAGAAAGGCAAGGAGAAAGATGGGGATATGAAAAACTAAGTTTCCTCTTTCTTTGTTTATCATACAGTGGTCTGGATTCAAGAATGACAAAGCTCACACAGTACCCTTTTCAAATGCTCGAGCCAAAGGCTTTTCATACCAAAGAGGAAGAAGAGAAACTCCATTGCTGCGTTGAGTGCGCTTCAAATTTTGAAAAAGAAGCTTCAGTTTTTAACTCAGAAGTTAAAAACTATAACACTGGATCGAGCCAATTGCCCTATTGGTTGCAACCACATAGACCAAAAAATCATCGAAGGGTATGAAAAAAAATTTAAAAATTTAGTAAGTGTTTCATTTTCATTTTTTAAATTTTTTGATATATTTTTTCAGGATACCTTGCTTGATTTGAAGAGAAAATGGAATAGATTATGTCTAAATCTGCATCGATTTCGGCGAAGTTCCATTCATTTGGTGTCATCCTATCCTTCATCAACTTCCAAAGTTAACAATATAAATCCCATACTAACATCCCAAATCAAGAACACGGATGGCCCAAAACCATTGCTATCTGATGTGACGACGAAGCTTGAACTAGGCCATCCTCTGTTCTCGGACACTGCCACCTCAATATATCAGAGAAATGAATCAAGGGTGAACCAGAGAGAATTAAGCAGATTGCTACAAGAAAATATTCCATGGCAATCCGAGATCATTCCTACGATTGTAGATGCATTGCTTGACAATCAATCGAAGACTGGCATTTGGCTACTTGTTCAAGGTACTGATCAAGTCGCAAAGAGGAGGGTAGCCCGAGTTACAGCAGAATCATTTTACGGATCCACTGATAAACTCATATGCATTAAAGCTAAGAGACCAGCTAATGCAGTTGAAATACTCATAGAGGAAATTAGAAAAGACCCAAAATGCGTGTTCTTGATTGAGGATTTCGATCAAGGATTTATAGCAGCCATCTCCGAGTGCATCAAAACTGGATTTTTGAAAGACCCATCTGGGGAAATGGCTGACTTGTCTCGTAGCGTCTTCATTCTCTCTAATTCAACCTCTGGTAAGAGCCATGATGAAGTACTAAAGATGAGGCTCTGGGCCGAAGAGACACCCAGCTCTGGTCATAAGAGGAAGAAGATGAAATTGAGCGATCCTGAATTTGAGCTCGACCTCAACATTTGCGCAGAGACCAGCGATCTGACCCAAGAAATGGACCTTAACGACGAGATAAAGTTTCCATGTACGTGCATCACCATGGACGAGGTCGCTGGTGGGGATCAGATGATCAAAGAGAGGGTCGTCGATAGAGGCTGAGCACGGTTTTCGATCGTCAGCTGGTCGATTGTGGGGTTGGTAGAAGCAATGGGGCGGTTGTTGGAGAGTGAGTTTGAGAGGCGGGTGAAGGAGATTTTTGAATTGAGTCCCGTAACGGTCC